TACCTACTACCTACTACCTACTACCTACTACCTACTACCTACTACCTACTACCTACTACCTACAACAACAATTACAACAACAACAGCAGCAACAACAACAACAACTACTACTACTACTACTACTACTACTACCCCTCCTCTACTAGTCGTAGGAATATTGCTGGCTTAGTTGCATTCATAATGGTGCAGGGTTTTCTGGGATTCCCTGTGATTCTCTGTTTGTAAGGCTATGCACCGTTTGCTAGGCCAAGTTGCTGCCACAGACACGTAGACAGATCATTGACATCCCGGTTTGCTGAAAAACACCCGCTTTGCTGAAAACTCTTGTGTTTGCCGTGTTTGGTGTTTTGGTTGTTGGAAACACATCCGTTTTGACCAATCGCTTCAGTCTTCGAAACCATTTTCGATCAAATGCACAGTCAATGACCTCACCGTCGCAAGATCGCCTGATCTCGGTGTCTCTGTGCGTCACAAAGTCACCGCGACCGGTGCCCGGTCGGCGAGCCCGTCGGACCCCCGCGGCCACGGAAACATCGAGAAAGGTGCCAATCACACCAAAAGAACTTCATCCAATTCCGAAGCACTGTTAGCCGGAAACAGGCACTATGAACGTTTGTGGACAGACCGGCAAGGGAGATAGGCGGACACACCCAGCTTGAGGCACAAACCTCCGCTCCAGTGGAGAGATACTTTTATGTGAAGCATTGGCAGTCCTAACTGGGCCCTAACAGTATGTACTTGTCCAGTTGTGTACAGTATCAAACAATCTTTAGCATACGCCACGAATGCCTGTGAACAGAATGAGCATCGCTGTCGTCATGATCTGAGGTGCTTCCGCCAAAGTTTTGCTGAGTGGCTTCAAGGTTGAAGCCATTTTGGAAGCACAGGAAGGTCCCAAGGACGCGGCTTTGGATGCAAGAGCATGTTTGAAGGTCCCACGTCTCGTTGGACCACCAAGCAGGCTGTTGGAGTCAACTGCCAGGAGGTGAAGCGCACCAAAAGCGAAGTCATGGAAGCGTCAACGGCGATCAGCATTCGGTCTTTGGTGAAGGTTCCCGTCGACTGGGCCGACCGAGTGACCGAGTGTGACCAAATGAATCCGCACAGATGAGAAGAGGTAACAGCTCAAATGATAAAGCAATAGTTTGGGTCTGGTAACAGCTCTGATTTTGTGACGTTTGCAGCATGTTCTGTTTGCAGTTTTGGCGACAGGGCAAGAAGGCCAGGAATGAAGAGGTGAGTGCTTCAGCCAAGGCCGAATTGCGAAAACATTCCAGGCCAGGGCCTCCTCCACTTCGCTTCTCGCGGCCAAAGGCTTCCTGTCCGCCTCCGCGTCTCCGCATCGTGTCAGGTCGAGGCGGTGAGCCGATGAGGTGAGAGAGGGGGACAATCGGAGTTGGTGATCCGAGGAGTTGGTGATCCTTTTTGTTCTTCCGCTTCGAAGAGAATCACACGCGTGGTATGCCGAAAGAAACGGCGCGTGGTAGTTCGGATTCCCTTCCGTCGTAGCTGACGTGCGAGAATAAACAAGGAGGCGCTTGCTTTAACAACTTGCTTGTTGCAATTGTTTCCATCACAACAAGGATGTAACACCTGAGGTTGTGTTGTTTTGAACACTTTCTGATCCCTTTGTTGTGCTGAGTTTTGGTTCGAAGGATTCTCTGATGCGCTGCCCTTGTGGGACATCCCATGACGGACATTCTGCGCTTGGCGAGCTTGGTTGTTGCTTGTTTTGCTGCAGAGCATGACAGCTCTTGTGAGATTCAGTTGCATCGTTGGTCAGACATCTCAGGTGAGATTGGTCCTCAAGACCACATTGACAATGCCACGTTTCATGCCATGCAGCGAATGTGGAAAATGCCCGGTCACCGATTCAATCAATGTCCGTCCGGGAGAGGGCCTCCCCTGAAGTTGATGCAAGGCAATGTTTTATCAGTGTTGCCAGACAAAAAGACTTGTGGAAGGGGAGAAGTTCCCATCGGCCAATTCAATGGCGACGCCTATAACTTCACATGTTGCTCAGGTGCACAATGTGGAGGTTGTCGGGAGGTGAAGGACGGTGTTTGCCAGGAATGTGCGGCAGGATACGTGAAACAAGTGATGCCTGTTACCGGAGAGTCGATGCCAAGATGCTTCATTTGCGATGATGTACCCAAATGGACAGACTCCTTGGGCCGTTCTTGTTCAGATTATGAAAAGCAAGGTCTTTGCAGCGGTGAATGGCCAAAGAAAACACTTGATGTCGCGTTTCATGGACTTCGCCCAAGTGATGCATGCTGCGTTTGTGGCGGGGGAAGTGTGGAAGCTTCCCCATCAAAGATGCCACTCTCAGGAAAAGCATTGTTTCTGGGCCAACATATTTACTCTGAGCCATTTCCGATTCCTGAAGCCATCCAGCTTGATGCCGGCTGTGATCTAATGTCAGTAGGCCTTGATCTAGCCACCAACGGAACGGTCTTTGGAAGAGTAACTGCACAGGAGCAGACAGAGATCTCGTGCTCAATGTCTTTGGCGCAAGATCCTGTACGCGGCATTCTTGACCACTTTGATCTGGCTTTCTCCGTGAACAACTTCAGCTATGGAGACAATGTGGTCGCTTTCAAGTATTGGGGGTTGGACTCCAATCCTTCAAGGCCGCAGAAGTCAGTTAACACTTCCGAGCCCCTGAGCAACTTCAACTTGGTGTGTGAGCCACTCTGCACTTGGTTGTCCATGGATGAAAGCGGCACTTTGCATGCCGGAAGACTGGGCTCCAAGACTTCCGGTCTCCCTCCTTCCATGAAGGGCAGCCTAACTCAATTTCAAAACATGCCTTCTTGCAGCTGCCAGGTCACAGCTCTCCCCCACCTGCATGTGGACCCTCCCAAGGCCCTCACGACCCGCTTCTTGGCCGTACAGATGCGGCTTTGGGCTGGAGCCTACTACAAGGAATCCATTGATGCTCAGGTCCATGTAGCCATTTCGGATGTGCTCCTTCAAGAACAGTTGGGACTGGGTCTTAGCTTAAACAAGGCTTCTCATCTCACCAAGAGCTTCAGAGCTTCTCACAAAGAATGGATAGCGCAGTATTGAGCACATGCACATGCTTTGCGTGAGAACAGCTAAGAGACTGAAAGACAGTGTCTTTTTTCCCCAGATAGCAAAGCTATGGGGTTCTTACTTCAAATAACAATGAGTTGCCCGTGCACGCTTTCGAGACAGGTTGCTGGTGCTGGTGCTGTGTGGAGACAGGTTGCTGGTGCTGGTGCTGGGTGCCGGGTTCCGGTGTTGGTTGCTGGTGCCGGGTGCCGGTGCTGGTGCTGGGTGCCGGTGCTGGTGCTGGTGCTGTGAGCTGGCTGTGCGCGTGGTGAAGACAGGTTGCTGGTGCTGGTGCCCGGTGCGGATGCTGGTGCTGTGAGCTGGCTGTGCACGTGGAGACAGGTTGCTGGTGCTGCTGCCCGTGCTGGTGCTGGGTGCTGGTGCCTTGGGCTGGCTGCGCACGTGGTGGAGACAGGTTGCTAGTGCCGGTGCTGGTTCTGGGTGCCGGGTGCCGGTGCTGGAGCTGGCTGTGCACGTGGTGGAGGAGACAGGTTGCTGTTGCTGGTGCTGTGAGCTGGCTGTGCCGGGTGGCGGTGCCGGTGCTGCACGTGGTGGAGAGAGGTTGCTGGTGCTGGTGCCGGGTGCCCGTGCTGGCAGGTTGCTGGTGCCGGTGCTGGTGCTGGGTGCCGTTGTGGAGGTGCCGTAAGCTGGCTGCGCAGGCTGCGTGCATCTTGTTCCAGCCAGTCGCATGTCAACAGGTCGTGGGATTCTGCCTGGCCTAGCTATCTGGGTCTATGCTGGTGTAATCTTGTTTTTCTTCTTGTCAATTTTCAAGGTCGTTCTATCTATTTTCCATTGTCCTAAGGGCCCGGCCTCCAGCAGTACAGGGATCACGCAACACACCTTCCCGTGGTCTCTGCGAACGGCAGCCGCTTTGTATTCTCTCCAGCAGTACCACCACAGATTTTGGATGTGCGATGCACTGCCCCAAGTTCCACAACCCCCACCAAATCCCTGACCTTTCGCTGGTCCCACATCACTGGAGAAGTGTCCTTGGATGGCAAAGCAGCTTTCACGTTGCATCCTTCGACCGGAACGATCAGTGGAACTCCAGAACTGGATTTGTCCAGTGATACGCTTGGGCGCGGCAGTCTCGATGTCACTTGCAAAGTTGCTCTTGGAGGCGCGGGTAGCGCCGCGGTGGCTGCGGTTTGGACCGTTGATATATATATATATATATATACGTTGGTTACCCTTCCTTGCATCGACGACATGGGATGGGGGGTAAGCCAATTAATCTAGGGATGCCCGTCAGTTGCTGCACTAGTTTTAGGGATTAAGTTTTCTAGAAATTACGCAGTGAGGTATGTATGTAGGGTGGTACTGTGGAGGTGACCATTGGATTAAAGATACATATTTTTGGTACATTTTCATCAATGGCTGTTGTGTTTGAGAGATCTTGAGTGTCCAGCTGACCAAACCGCGTTGATTTTGAGAGATCTTGGGGGTCCAGCTTCGTGATTCTGAGGAAATTGAACAAAGATGCCATAGAAAAAAATTGATGGCAAGGAGGAATCTGTGTTCGTGACAATAGCAACTGGACTCGGGCGCAAATGACAATAGCAAATGATAGATGGAAAATGTTCAAAGCCAGAGGCTCACACCTTCCTTTTTGCAATGGGCCATCTCACACTGGGGCTGCACCCCTGCTGTGTGTGCGACGTCAGTTTGTTATAGGAATCTGTGTCCGCTGGCTCCAGAACCAAAGGGCAGCAGAATGAGAAAAACCAGTCATTGTTGTGGTTGCTTTACAAGGGAAAGAAGACTGTAAGTGTTGTAGTCCAGGTGTCTGGTGGGCTTACTTTTGGAAATTCATCTGAGGTCTCGGACACCTCCATCACCTCAGACGTTTTGAAATCCAATATGGCTCAGGATTTTTTCCCAATATAGCGAGAGCTATTGGGGTCCCTACTTCAAGTTTAGGACCAGGTGCCTGTGTGCGCTTTGGAGCCTGGGTGCTGCCCAGTGCCTGGTTCGGTTTTGCTATCGCTGGCAGAATTTTTATTCATCTGAGGGGTCTGGACGGGGGATATGTATGGGACCGGCCGTGACATGGGACTTCTGCCCAAAAACCGCTGGCTAAGCTCACAACCTCCCCATCTTCGGCAAGCACCTAAAACATAGGACAGGTGAATCGTGGCTCGTTTTTTTCTTTTTGCACACTGCCTAAGCTTGCTGCATCTTGCTGCGGCCAAGCTGGATGTAGCACTGTGGGACCGATGCCGGTTGGAGAGCAGGTTGATGTTGTATCAAGAATCAGGATGTACTATATGAGGGCATGATCATGATAACCCCCAAAGAAGAATATATCGGAGCATCTCAGGCTCTAGCCATTGAGGAATGCGGTTGGTTGTGCTTGGTTGGTATGTGTATTTTGTATTTTACTTCTCTGAACATAGCCACAACATTGGGTCAGGTGAACTATATGACAAAGAGCTCCCGCTTTCTTTGGTGAGGGTGCGTATTTGGGATGACACTTGTTGGAGCCCGGCTGAGATATCAAGTCAGGGCCTTTGGCTCGATGCAGGGCGGCTGAGCTTGTCGGAGTGCAAGCAGCAATGTCGACAGCAGGCTGAATGCGCAGCTGTGTCTCACGGGGAAAACATTTGCTTCATCCAAACGACCAATGGCAGTGCAGCTGCAATGCATTTGATACACCCTCGGGTTTCATGCAGAACTTGAAGACAACCACTATTCAGCTATATACACATATACTCCAGTTTCAGGTTTGATGATTGCACTTGTTTTTTTTGCCGATAGGCGGCGCAACGCAAAACAGTTGCAAGTTCCTTGCTCTTGTGTTGCATCGTGTGATTCTTGGTACCGATGCTGCACGTGCACAAGGATGTGTCTAGACGGCTGAAGGATGACTGAACTAAACGAACAAGCAGGCGCAAGCATCGCAACCTTCATCCACTAGATCGGCCAGGTACAAGCAAGACACTGGCGTGTAAAGACATCGTGTGCGCATTCAAACTCAGCATAACCAAGCCGCTTTTGATGCCCCAGGGATAGGCCACATCAACAATGAACTCAATCTGAGAAACACCTCGATTGAGCTACAAGCCGATCTAGCTAGAGTTTTCGTGCTCTGAATGCTGAAGGGTGTGGAAGTGGGTCGAAATGCTTTAGGCCCTGCCCGCACTGTCCGACAGCTCAGCCAAGGCACAAAAGGCTCCAGGACCGTGCCTGCTCCGCTTGAAGAATTGCACAGAGGAAACGGCTATTTTGGACCTCAGCGCTCCGGATGCCAAGTACTTGCAGGGCCAGTTCAAGCCATCCGGTGCTCATGCAGATCATGAGGTCAAAGCATATTCTCGCTCTGGCTTGACAGTGGAGAGGGAGTTGATTCTGGCAAGGCAGAAGTTTGTGCACAGCGCCATACCCAAAGCGTGCCACAATGCCTCGTGGATGCTCTTACATGTGAACTCCACTGATTATCAGTCCAGCAAAGATGATACTCCAAGTTACCCAGAGTATTTTGGCCAACCAATGGCTTGCATCATGGATGATTCAGTTGGCACAACCTTCGAGAAAGGTTCGGCGAGGTTTGACCTGAGGCTTAGCCCTTCTGAAGTTGAAGATTCTGTGCCCGAATCTTCAGAAGCAATGATGAAGTTATTTGTTCCTTCCTGCGCGAAACCCAAAGCAAGGCACTTCAGGGTTGGCACAATTCAGGACCCCAATTTCTATTCACTACATGCGTGCGAGTGCTTTGGAGAAGCGCATGCCAGTACACCCCCGGTGGCCAAGAGTGCCAATGCAGCTGTGAGCCGAAATATGACCAACTTCAACGTGGGACCCGTTCCGGACCAGCAGATCTTTTCGGGCCCGTACTCTTGTGAAAAGCACGCCGGGCTCTTATTGACATCAACATTATCAGACTCAAGAAGAAGCGTTTCTTTAAGATCCAGGAACTGTTTTGTCACTCTGCTTTTTCAGGTCTGTCACATCAGGTCTGTTTCCTGGATCTGTCACACTGAGGCGCTGATTGCACAATACCATTCGCTGAGCATTGAGATTTGCCGATCCAGATGTCACTCGATGGAGGAGTGCCGTTTCTACCTGTACTTCCCGACTGCGCAGACTTGTTCACTTTTTGAAACTTGTGTGAGCATACAGCATGTCGGATTAGACGTGATCCACAACCTCTATGGGGTGGTGCGCGAGAAAGTGGTTTGTCACATTGCCAACCCGGAGCTTTGTTGGACGAGCCTGAAACGTCGAGCCTTTCTGAGTCTGGAGGAAGCCACGGTGCCAAAATGCTTGTTCCAGGAACAGTTTGATGCGTGTGATTCACTTCAGCTGCTTTCTGGTGAGAAAGATGGGAACTGCATGCGCTGCCAGTACCTGGAGGAGACCTCCGACCGCGAGAAGGAACGCCAGAAGGAACCGCTGCCGGACCACTTTCCCAGTGGATCGCAGATTCAAATCGCATGCAATGAGACTTCAAGGATGTTTGCCTCCAGAGGCGGGGCTGACTTTGCTTTTAACTTTTGTGTCAAACCGCCAAGTTGCGTAGATTGCGAACGTCGTGCGAAAGCGGAAAGACGAGATCAAACAAGGAGGATCAAAACATGGCTTAGGCGGTCCGTGCCACCCTTTTAACACTCCGTCTAAGTCTGAGCTCAAGAGGCGCCCCTGCGGACGAGAACATGAGTACCCCGCACCTGTGGTTCCGTAGACCACTGAGATGTGCTAAGGTTGGTAAAATCGGGCTTCACACAATTCATGAAACACCAATGAAACTCCTCTCAACTTAGAACAGGTTCAGTGCTTTTGGAGTTGAAGAGAAGATATCTGCGATCGCTTATATATCTTAGATAAGCTGTGGCAAAAAGGTTGGTCCAGGCATCATCCATCCAAACTTCTGGCATATCTGCAAAAGGCAGGCCTTGTTTCTGCTCTTCTTTCTTCTTTTGTGTTCGCAGTCGTTGCATCTTACGAGCAGAAATGAACTCTTCGTTGAACTTCACTATCCAGCTTTTGTTGGTATGAAACAGTTTCATCTCTCTATATGCATCCATGGAAGCTTTTGTGAGAGAATTAGCTAGGTTGAGGTCTGAAGGCACCCACGTAGCAAAACAGTTTGTACCATCTTGTATTCCTTTCTGGACATGAAGTAGGTCTATTGCAGCCTTAGAGTCTGACATTGACATGGCAAGAGATTCATTGCTCACCAGTAGGTCATAGCACCCACGAGAGTCCATAATCAACAGACTCGTGAACATGGAAGTCAGAGTGTCTGCTTTCCCAAGTCGGAGGGTGTGTCCGTACAGGATTGCAAACATAAGTCTGGTTCTCCAGCCTTTGTCTTCAGCTTCTGCAATTCCTTGAGCTTCTGAGCAGTTCGTCCCTCTGGCAGGACGTCGGAGTTTCCAGGATCTCCAATCAATCAAGGTTACAGGCGTTTCACTGCCCTTCAAGATTTCCGGTGAAGAAATTCCAGAAACAAACCCGCCGGTCGAACCACCTGTCGGTCTGTTGTTGTGTCCAGCATCGCCCCAATGCAAGAAAACAAGATCTGTGTATTTCAATCTATTCGTTCTTCCAAAATTGAAATTGTGAAAAACCAGATCTTCCTTTGCAGTCTTACGCATATCCCGAATGATAGAGTTTGCTTCTCTCAAGTTTGCCAGTTTCCCATCCGACAACGTGGAAGAAGCTATGCCAATTCGAGCAGCGTATTGAGGAGCACTCTGCAAAGATCTCCACTGCGCTTTCATCAAAAGCGCTCGAGCTTGCGAAGTTTCCGATGGAGTCATCGGATCTTTGTCACTGCGAGAGCCGTCTGATTGAATTGCCACAGGAGACAAAGAGTTGCAAAAATCTTCTTGCGAGACATGGATGGAGTAGGAAGTGAGTTGGCGAATTCGGCATCCGGCATACACAAAATCACCCTTTTTCCAAGGACTCCATTGATACATACCCTTTATCTTTTCTCTCAAAGCAATCCAAAACTTATTCTTGGGATTTCCTGCCATTAGAAAGTCATCTACTTGACTACCAATTCTGGCAAAAACCGACCCTTCGGGATCACGAAAAACCCAAATGCATCGATCCATGGGATGAGGAATCCCACCGAGCTTTTGGAAATTCAAATCTACATCTTGCCAAAAGATGCGAGGAGCATTGGTAAGGCCATAAATGGCACCCAAGACACGCATCAACTGCCCTGGTTTCAGTCCAAGAGACACTGCAATCTCTGGAACTGCTTTCGTCCACAAGCGCCTATCTTCTTCACAATTAGCAGCTTGCAAAAATGCAGATTTAGCATCGGCAGATTCAATCTCATGTTCATCGAAAGCAAAACACTGAAGGAGAAGGTTTCTCCCTGTGCGTGAAATGGTCCGTGCTGCTGTCTTAAGTTCTGGCTGACCTGTGATTGGATTTCTCTTCACAAGGTCTGGATGTTTAAACCCTAGAAGTACTACCCGAGCTTTAGCTTTACAACTACCGTCTGGCATCACTGAAGTCGGTTTACCTGGAGGCGGAGGTTCAGGAGGTTGAATCGGTTTCCAAGTAAGGACCCATCTCATGGGAATATGGCGTTCAGGATGGCTCAAAGCTTCTTTCAGTTCTTCTTTAGATTGTACTGCGCGAAGTGCCATTGAACCCAAAACTTCAGCGACCTCTCTGGCTTTTGCTTCATCAAACAAAGGAACATGCTCTGGAGACAGTTGCTTGTAGGTGATCTCTACGTTTTTGTTCCCTTCCAAGACTCGCTTCACGTACAAAAACGGATTAGCATCAGCAATCTCTTCCGAAACGTCGAACTCAATCTGGAAGACCCATTGACGGTCCTTCTCGGGTCTCTGGAAGTCGTCCTGGATGAAGGACAGGAAATGAGCTTCATCTTCGCGTTCCTGAGTGATCATTTCATGAAGCTGCACTGTCTCTTGTTTCATCTTGACTTCCTCTTCCAGCAAGTGGATTCTCTCCAAAACCAGTTTCTGCGTCTCTTGATCCAAAAGATGAATGTTCCTCACTGTGTTTTCTGCTGTTTGAACTCCGGGTGAACATTCAACATGTTGTGGATCAGAATCTTCAAAAGTATACATCATTGGACTTTGTTCCAACACTTGGGCTGGAAGCTGCATCAATGGAGGAAGTCCTTCCTGCCTCCGGTTCTGGTTAATCGATACCAATTGTTCCCACCTGGCACGCAGAGCTGACACGGTGTCCAGTCGAGCTTTCTTCCGCTCAGGAGACAGATTGGTATTCAGGATGATCTGGAGAAAAAGGCTCTTTTGAAACATCTGTGAAATTCTTCAGTCGTGAAAGAAGTTCAGTACGAGGTTTCGACAAAATCTCACCAGATCTCAGAATCTCAACCACTGTCTCTTGTTCAGTTGCTGGTCTTAGTTGTTCACGTGCGCACCTATACAGTTTTGTTCCACAAAGAACCCAAATGATAGCCTTCCGCTTGTCTTCCAAAATTGTAGGCTCTATCAATGCTATTCGTCCTGGTCCAAAAAATCTTGCTTCTGGATTGTAGTTTTCATCCCGTTTTCGTGCTTTCAATGTCATAGTGCGCCAAATCATCACAAAGTCTCCAACCTGATAATCTATCAAAGGTCGAGGAGCAGAATTCCATAGTCGAGACACAGCTTGACGTGCAGATTCTTCACGGAAAAGTTCACCTGCTCGAGCACGCATGGATTGAAATTCTTTGAAATGTCTAGGACCAAAAAGCTTCTCTCCATTCGCTTGCAACGGGTCATTCTTTCTCTCTAACTCATCGGGGTCATAACCATAGGCCCATTGCACCGGAGAAAAACCAGTAGAACGAACAGTGTGGTTTGCTGCATGTGAAGCTAGTGTGCCAACAATTGAAGGAGCTAGTAGAGGATGTTCTTGTCGTATTCGTTTCATAGTACGCTTGATGGTTCGTACCATAGCTTCCGTCTTCCCATGAATCCAATGTCCTTCCCCTGGAGAAGCTAACATACCGATTCCAGCTGTGTGCATGAATGTAGGGAAATAACCGTTGATGAGGCTTGACTGTGAGTCTACTACCACCCATTCTGGTCGAGGACGATGATGTAGCCAAACATCACAAAACGTGGAAATCAGTTTCTCACCAGAGTCCGTTCCAGTCTGTGAAAATTTTCCAATCCAAAGTGGTGCAACTGCTGTAAAATGCATTGCAAGACATGTCATCAACAGAAAACGTCCCTTAACCCTCTGTGATGGAAAATGTAGTTCGAAGACATCCATGCCCACCATCTGCCAAGGTCTCGGATGTTCTCCAATGGAACGGTGAAGAACTAGTTGATTTCCAGGGAGTATGTCAGAACATTGAGTGCATTGCAGTTTCTTCGCTTCATCCACTAGCCATCCAGGCAGTTTTCGATCTCGAATCAGTCGGGCTAGACTTTGGTTTGAAGGATGACCTGCGGATTTGTGAAGTCGGTGCAAAAGAACTTTACCTTTTTCACGTTCTTCATGAGATACTTCAGGAAGTATGCTGCTACCACCTTGACTGTTTGAAACTGTTGGGTCCTGTTCCAGAGTTTCGTCCTCTGCTGCTTGATCTGTCTCCATTTCCCCATCTTGCGTTTCAGTGTGTGTACGTTTGCGTTCGACCGGAAATGCATCTTCCAGATTCTGAAAAGCTTGAAGTGCACGGTCAGGGTGTAGATGAGGATCTTGAGCCTGGTCCATCGTGTGGAGTGATTGTAAAATCTTGGGCTCTGATGCTGAGAATTGCTCGTGCTTCCAAACCTGAACAATTCTCTTCGCAAACTTCACAGGGTAAAAGGCTGTTTTTGCAACTGCATGTGTTCCCAAACCCAAAATACTTTTGTGTGTATGTTGTCCGTCACATGTAATCCCAGCATGTATATGAAAGTGTTGGTCGCTTGTCAGGATCTGCCACGGCTTGTGTAGGTGATTGCCCTCTTCATCCAACAAACCAACCATACAACCATGGACCACTGTTCTGTAAAGAGGTTTGGAAAAAGTTGCATTGTACCATTGTTCAAATTGTTCCAATTCACGAAGTCGCCAGCCTTCCGTTGCGTTCTTTGGCCACTCGAAGTAGAAGTCCGTTCCAGAGTCCTGGAGCAGTGCTTGGCTAAAAATCTCCAAGATGTGTCGAAGTTGTTTTCTTGATCTCAAACGCATTCTCCGCAAATTGTTCACTTGTTGTGGAGTCCGTTGGTTGATGTGTTGTATCGATGTCCAAGGAGTGCAACGCAAAGATGCCCAAATTTTTGTCGGACAATCCCTCTTCAGTGCATTGATCGCTTCAGCAACACACTCTGGCTTCTCAAGGTCAAAACCCTCTTCGATTGTCCATCTTTGAGCTTTCAATCCATTGCGAATCACTTCATTGGATAAGGTCGAATTTGGCGAACAACACATCTCCCACAAACTAAACCGTTGCTCTTGAAGCGATCTCAACTGCTGTTCAATGCTAAAAACTGAAGACTTCAAACTAGCTGTCAAATCCCTCAGGACTGCATC